TCATACGTCCCCGTTCTGCTCGGCACCTTTGGCCACAAAGACGGCGTCGCCCTCGCTGAAGTTCGGGCTGGACAGCCGGCCCACCCGCAGCTCGCGATGCACGTGATACAGCGCATGGCGCGCGAAGTCGCCAGCTCGCGTCAGCGCCGAGTACGGTAGCCCATCGGGCCTAGGAGCTGCATCGCGTTCCTTAGAGAGAAGTGCGCTGACCTCGAGGGCCCACTGGACGCGCCCAGGAAGCGGGCGCGCGAGCGGCCCGAGCTCGAGCCAGGCCTCCGGTCCAGGAGAAACACGGGCGTGGACTCGCCCTCAGAACCACCCGAGGCGCACACAGACCGCGCCAGGATCAGCGATGTGCTCGCCCGAAAGGTCCGACACTCCAGCCAGAAGAATACGCCTCCGAAGCGATCCCCGCGAAGACAGAAAACTGCCGATCTTGATCCTCTCAAGTTGCTTTCGTAGCTCGGCGATACCCCCCTCGCCCGCCTCGCGAAGACGATCCTCCACAAGACGAGAATTGAGCGAGGCGAGATGAGCATGGAACCCAGCCAGGTCTACCCATGCGAGGGCGGCGTCGTCGATAGATTCGCAGTGCTTGGGACATGCACAAGACGCTCTCGATGCCAGATCCACATGGCCCTGATTATGGGCAGCCGGCAGGTGGTCAAAAATACGCATAGCCACGAGAGCCCTAGACACGCACCCAAGGGCGCTTGCTGATCCAGCTCGTTTATGTTCACATTTTACTCTGCGGGCCCCTGCTCGGACGAGGCCCTCAGCTTCCTCTGGGGCCCCGAAGAGGCATTCGGAGCCGGCGCCTTGTCGCGCACACCCTGGCACCTGACGGGTGACATGGGGCGCTTGGAGACCCAGCGGGGCGCGCCCTCGACTCCCCGGAAGGTCTTGGGGGACTGCGACAACAACACAGGATGATGACATGACTAGGCTCGTTTCCCACGCGCTTTCCCGATTACAAAAAGACGCACGCCATTGTCAAGCAACTGCGCGGTGCACTTGCTGGCACATAAAATTACGATCCAAACCGGAAACCGAGACAACGCGGGCGACATTGGGCACAGCATCGGCGCGACTCTGAAAGTGAGAACCACTGCGAGACATCACATGAGGAGCGGGGCGAGCCTGTTCGACCTCGCACATGGACGGAAAAAGTCGGGAGACAAAGTGAGACATGGCATGCGAGGTGTAGACCTTGCGCTCAGACAAGCGCGAGCCCCCAGCCCTTTCTGCAACGAAGTTGAAGTCACCAGCGATGAAGCCCATGGCCTCGCGCTGGGGGGAGCTAGCTCACTGGTCACGAGCCTGGGGAAATTATTTTGAGCTGCTCTAGGTTGCCCAGGAATATCGCGCCTGCTGAAGACGCGCAGCGAACCACGAGACCCAGAACACTTGACCATATGTGCTCGCCCATCGATCAGAGCGCGGCGCGAGATGCGTTGAAATTAATCGCGGAAAAAATGGGTTGATCAAGATGCTGCAACCGCCAGCGGGGGCTATCTCAGCTTCAGGGCTGGTTCTGTCACAGAAAGCGCCAAAACAAAATACGCCAGCCGTCACTCTCAGAATATGTCGCAAATCGCAAGCTGATCCTCTGGCTTCGCGATGGGCGACAAGCGCCAAGATGGAGAAACCGACGTGCGTTTTGCCTCAAGAGATGAGGGGATGTCCACTGAGTACCGAACAGGCTCTGAGCGTTCCAAATATAATAGAAAACTTGTAAGGCGGGCGGACATGGAGCCGCCGGGCTGCGCGATCGCCCCCAGGCCGCGGCGGAGAGGACCCAGCCGAACTGGAGGAAGTAGAAGAACGGGAACTCCCCGAGGACAAAGTGGAAGAAGAAGCCGAAGTGCTGCACGCACTGCTGCTGCGAACTTGAACTCGAAACGCCCCCGCCCACGACCTGCATCGCACGCCGTAGCCCCTGAGCGGGAACGCCTGGCACAACAATGATTGCCCCTCGCTGACGCCGAGCTCACCACTGCCAAGGGCACCCTCCAAGCACTTACGCAGCTTGACCATCTCATAAGGCAGTCCTGCTACTTTGACGTCGCCAACGCCCAACGTGCTCGGTGGCCAGCAGGACGAGCTTGCCATCTTCACGTTCGGCAATACGTTCGCTGTCAGACAGTGCGGGGCTGGCTCGGTACTTGTGGTTCGTGATCTTGGTGAGTTAGATGGACCAGCATGTTGGCGCATCATTGCACCAGGTGCCTGGTTTCTCCATGCGGAGGACCTTTAGTGCAGGATCGATGTTCTCGCGCCCTCTGCCCCTCGCAGAATGGCGACGGCGTCGGAGGAAAGCTCGAAATGGACACTGCGCTCCACCTCACCCGTGCCTTCGGCAAGACCCTTGCAGATGACTCCCCTCGGAAAAGTTCCCTCGGCGCCCCGCGCGCCCATCGCCCATCCTCGGCAGGCCGCCTCGGAGATAATCACGCGCTGGGTAACGCGATGAGGCGCTGCCATATGCGGCAATGAGATCGGCGCCGACGACCTTGAAACCTCGGGGGGCCAGCCACACGCGGAAGATCCGTACTCTCTGCGTTAGCTTGCCTACTGTCCTGCAGTCAAGGACGTCGCAAGCTCCTCGGCGATGGCGCCGCGAGAAGCAGCCGTCATCCACCCATAGTTGCAGATCCTCGACACCGCGGCTGCAACTGCTGCAGCGTGCTCTCGGAGTACTTCTGGCGCGAGTAGGCCGGCATCACGTTCTACCACAGCCTTCGGGGATCTTGCCGCGTAGACCCAGAGGCGCGCACGCTGTCCGTCTGAGACTGGATGGTCAACTGGCAGTTTGTGCATCTCGTTCGGGGCAGCTTTTCCACATGAGAACTCCCAGTCTTCATCTACATCGATGGCCTCTGCTGTGGAGAGAGATGCAGTATCCGCTGTGAGCTAGTGACGATGCTGACGAACATCCGTGGAAATAACGCACGCCAGAAGATGCAAGGGAACTGGTTGGGACTCGGTCTTCAATACTTCGTCGAACGCAACCGACACTGCTGACAACGCACCCTGCGCGACCGTCTGCTGATCGCACGTGATGGAGCCCCACCACGTCGTGTCAATCAAGAGTTGATTGCTCAAAGAGTCCTCGTGGAACCCCTCGTCGATGGCAGAAGCCCCCCATCGTCATGATTTGATTCGTCTGGGCGCACGCCGGCTTCCGAAGGATCGGCACTGCCCCCCCTGGCGCCTACTACTTGGAGCTCATCTTCCACGAGATCTCCGAAGCAGTGTCCAGCAACCTCACCGAGTATAGACAAGAGATAGCACATCTTGCCGCGGTCGGGACCGAGGAGCTCGACGAAGCTCTATCTTCCAACCTCGAAGCTCCACCGCTCCACAGAGTCCCCCGTTCGCGGTGGCCCAGCCGCCGCCAAACCTGGAAGGATCCATGGCGACCTTTCTTCGGTCGCGATGCGGCCCAGGCTGCGGCCTACTTGGATGGCCGCAACACTGCTGCGGGTGAAGACGTCCCGGGCGCAGTCGAGGCCGAGCGACACCTAGCGTCGGGTTGCGGCGGCGACCGTGCCGGCGTCGGCAAGGACGAAGGCTCGCGATGTACTATTCTACCCATCCATGCCTGCTCGCGGGGCGTCGCGGGCTGACTTGCAACGCCACATACCAGCCCACCAAAGTCAATAAATCGTCGTACATCTCCACGAAGCGTAGTGCCTCGGAGAATGACGGTAACGGTGCCACGTTGGCCACGATCCTTTGCAAGGCGATCTCTCCAAGCCAGTGCGAGTGGCGCGCTACTCTGGCTGCGTCGTCCGGGAGAGCCAACATGTCTGGCAACATCCGCGGTTGTCGTCGGAAGCGGCGGTAAATTTTAACTACTCCGTAGGATATGACAGAGTTGCCTGCAGAAACAGCCTCGGAAAGGAGGTCGGGCATGCTAACCCGAATTCAGACATGCAGTAGATGTTCGTCAATATAGCGCATGGCGCGCCGTAGAATGGCACCCCGTCGTTCGCTCATCTGGGCGCGCTGATCTACGGCTCGGACTCGGACCACAACGCCGTGTCAGTCGGAAAATTGCTCAGTTTCGGCGTCAAGTAGGCCACGCTAACCATCAACTATCAAGGTCTTGGATGGTCCGCAGGTTGGGATCCAGCATGAGAACATGGCAGAGCATAGGCCCGCAGAAGATCAATGCTCAGCGTCGCTGGAATCTCCCTCGAGCAGCCGCGCTGCATACCACTCGTCAGCTGCATCGACTACAAATCCAAATCAAATACTGGCGGTAAAAGAGAATGTCCCCATCTACTTCCCGATCCAGAGCTGTGACCAGCTCGACAGAGGTTGCGATCTGCAACGGGTTGCCTGCTCAGACCGGCACGCGCGACGGGCGTCGCTCACGCCGGCGATCGCTTGGACGACGCTGCTTCGGCACCGGGCTGCGATAAGTATATTACCTAACAGCCTTTGCTGAGTGGTTTCTAGTAGGGTCAAAAGAACGCATCTTGACTCCCCAGGGGGGTCTGGGCAGATGCCGGACGGGTGCTGGGGAAAACCAGGAACTCCTTTTGTAGGCAACAGTCGCACTTCGTGGTCTTCGAGTTCCCACTGCATTCCTGGGCATGATTCTGCATGCCCGGAGCCAACTGTAGGCCACTTCGTGGTCTTCGAGTTCCCAGAGCTCGACTCCTGGGCATGATTTTGAATGCCCGGAGCCACCTGTAGGCCACTTCGTGGTCTTCCAGTTCCCAGAACTCCATTCCTGGGCATGATTTTGAATGCCCGGAGCCAACTGTAGGCCACTTCGTGGTCTGCGAGTTCCCAGAACTCCATTCCTGGGAATGCTTTTAAATGCCCGGAGCCAACTGTAGGCCACTTCGTGTTCTTCGAGTTCCCAGAACTCCATTCCCGGGCTACATTTTGAATGCTGATGCAGGCTGAGGCTGAGGCTGAGGCAGGCTGAGGCTGAGGCAGGCTGAGGCTAAGGCCGAGGCTGAAGGCAGACAGAGGCTGAGGCTGAGGCAGGCTGAGGCTGAGGCTGAGGCTGATGCAGGCTGAGGCTAAGGCAGGCTGAGGCTGAGGCCGAGGCTGAAGGCAGACTGAGGTTGAGGCTGAGGCAGGCTGAGGCTGAGGCTGAGGTTGATGCAGGCTGAGGCTGAGGCAGGCTGATGCTGAGGCAGGCTTAGGCTGAGGCTCAGGCTGATGCAGGCTGAGGCTGAGGCAGGCTGAGGCTGAGGCCGAGGCTGGAGGCAGACTGAGGCTGAGGCTGAAGCAGGCTGAGGCTGAGGCTGAGGCAGGCTGAGGCTGAGGCTGAAGCAGGCTGATGCTGAGGCAGGCTGAGGCTGAGGCTGAGGCTGCAGGCTGAGGCTGAGGCTGGCTGAGGGCTGCAGGCTGGCTGAGGAGGCTGAGCTGAGGCTGAGGCTGAGGCTGAGGCAGGCTGAGGCTGAGGCTGAAGGCTGAGGCTGAGGCTGAGGCTGATGCAGGCTGAGGCTGAGGCAGGCTGAGGCTGAGGCCGAGGCTGAAGGCAGAGGCTGAGGCTGAGGCTGAGGCAGGCTGAGGCTGAGGCTGAGGCTGAGGCTGAGGCTGAGGCTGAGGCTGAGGCAGGCTGAGGCTGAGGCTGAGGCAGGCTGAGGCTGAGGCTGAGGCTGATGCAGGCTGAGGCTGAGGCAGGCTGAGGCTGAGGCTGAGGCTGAGGCTGAAGGCAGACTGAGGATGAGGCTGAAGGGCTGAGCTGAGGGACTGAGGCTGAGGCTGGGCTGAGCTGAGCAGGCCTGAAGGCCGAGCTGCTGAGGCAGAGGCAGGCTGAGGCTGAGGCTGAGGCAGGCTGAGGCTGAGGCAGGCTGAGGCTGAGGCTGAGGCTGATGCAGGCTGAGGCTGAGGCAGGCTGAGGCTGAGGCCGAGGCTGACGGCAGACTGAGGCTGAGGCTGAAGCAGGCTGAGGCTGAGGCTGAGGCTGAGGCAGGCTGAGGCTGAGGCTGAGGCAGGCTGATGCTGAGGCAGGCTGAGGCTGAGGCTGAGGCTGATGCAGGCTGAGGCTGAGGCAGGCTGAGGCTGAGGCCGAGGCTGAAGGCAGACTGAGGCTGAGGCTGAAGCAGGCTGAGGCTGAGGCTGAGGCAGGCTGAGGCTGAGGCTGAGGCAGGCTGAGCTGAGGCTGAGGCTGAGGCTGAGGCTGAGGCAGGCTGAGGCTGAGGCAGGCTGAGGCTGAGGCTGAGGCTGATGCAGGCTGAGGCTGAGGCAGGCTGAGGCTGAGGCCGAGGATGAAGGCAGACTGAGGCTGAGGCTGAAGCAGGCTGAGGCTGAGGCTGAGGCAGGCTGAGGCTGAGGCTGAGGCAGGCTGATGCTGAGGCAGGCTGAGGCTGAGGCTGAGGCTGATGCAGGCTGAGGCTGAGGCTGAAAAGCGACTGAGGGCTGAAGGCCGCGCAAGCAGGCTGAGGCTAGGGCTGAGGCAGGTCTGAGGGTGAGGCTGAGGCAGGGCGCTCGGGGCAGTCTGAGGCTGCGGTTGAGGCAGGGAGGCTTGAGGGCAGCATGAGGCTGAGGCTGAGGCGGAGCGAGGCTGAGGCTGAGGCTGAGGTGAGGGTGAGGCTGAGGCTGAGCTCTGAGGCAGGGCTGAGGCAGCCAGACGCTGAGGGCAGGTGCTTGCTGAGAGGCTGCAGGTGAGGCGGAGGCTGAGGTGAGGGCTGAGGCGGTGAGGCTATAAGGCAGGCTGAGGATGAGGCCTAGGCGAAGGCAGGACAGAGGATGAGGCTGAAAGCAGGCTGAGGCTGAGGCTGATGCAGGCTGAGGCTGAGGCAGGCTGAGGCTGAGGCCGAGGCTGAAGGCAGACTGAGGCTGAGGCTGAAGCAGGCTGAGGCTGAGGCAAAGGCAGGCTGAGGCTGAGGCAGGCTGATGCTGAGGCAGGCTGAGGCTGAGGCTGAGGCTGATGCAGGCTGAGGCTGAGGCAGGCTGAGGCTGAGGCCGAGGCTGAAGGCAGACTGAGGTTGAGGCTGAAGCAGGCTGAGGCTGAGGCTGAGGCAGGCTGAGGCTGAGGCAGGCTGAGGCTGAGGCTGAGGCAGGCTAGGCTGAGGCTGAGCCGGAGGCTGAAGGCAGACTGAGCTGAGGCTGAAGCAGGCTGAGGCTGAGGCTGAGGCAGCTGAGGCTGAGGATGAGGCAGGATGATGCTTGAGGTAGCGAGGCTGAGGGCTGGTGACTGCGACTTGCCGTTGCCGCTGCGGACTGTCATCGCGAATGCGACTGCGATTGCGAGAACAGCAGAATTCGACAACTGGATGCTCATCTGAATCTTAAGGGGAATGCTTCCCGAAATGCGTTTACACATCGCTGTTAGGTTGCTTTGTCGGGATAAGTTTCGTTTTGAGTCCGCGTAGTATACCACCAGCGTATGTGGAGCTTGCGGATCTCACGTCGCATCTGCGATGCACCGCCCGTTCGTAGCATCCGCAAACTCTGCGCGACGTCGAAGCTTGTCCAATCCTCGAGTGCGTGACCCCTTGCAGCGTCCACGACTCGAGGTCGTGGTTGAGGCGCTCTGACGGCTTGGGGCACCGCCGGGTCAGGCGGCCGCGGCGGCTCGCCGCGCGTGGAGGTCGTCGCGCATAGGCGCGGGCGACGCAAGATCGTGGATGGGCCTCGACCAGGGGGCAGCCCATCGGTGTCAGGACTGCGACCCAAGACCTCCTGCCACGGGATCTTTAGACTGCTGCACACGTGCCTCGCGGAGAAAGACTCTGCGTTGGCTGGCGCGGCGCTCTTGGACAGCTCTGAATGTTTCGTCGAACCAGCGGCACTCTGCGGGCCGCCTTGCGCGGTCAGGGCGCGCCCTGTCTCGCGGCGGATCGCGCGCGCATCCTGGGCAAAGGCACGGCACGGTGACTCGACGCCTGGTGGGATTGCGCACTTTCCGGGGATCTTGATGCAACGTGGGCCCCGGCTGCTGCAACTCCCGCGGCAGCCCTGACATTCTGGGCATCGTTTTGAATTTGGTGCGTTGACTGCCTGCTCGGCAGCTGGCGCGACGGCGGATGTCAGCGTGCCCGAAGCTCGCGTCGGGGCCCCAGATGCTCTCGTAAGGCTCGCGACTTCCCTGCCGGAATTGGCATGGCTGCTGGCGCTGGTGCTGGCGATGCCGCGGCTCCTTCCAGGCGCTCAAGCTCCTGGAAAGCCTCTGGGCTGATGCTGGCTCCCGTGACCGAGTAGAGCACGGTCATCAAGGCGACTGGGCTTTCCACCGCGGCTTTGAGCGCGACGATGCCATGCGCCACGCGCTCAGCTAAGCGCCAGGGACAGATCTGAAGTGTCTTGGCGCGTCGGCCGCATCCCCAGTTGACGTCGCGGTCGCGGTTCCCGCTGCACCTCAAACTCCTGAGGGGCACGAGCAGATGCGGCGAGTTGGCGATGGCCAGTGACGGCATCTTGGCTGGGATGCCTCTTGGACCCGTGGCTCCCAGACAGCACTGGTCGAACACAACCACTTCCACGTGAGTGTGCGTAGATACCTGCTCCCACGGCGGCACTGCACTGAGACATGCAGGACTCGGTTGCTCGAGAGAGAGAGGGGAAAAAAGGAAGAAAAGAAGAAGAAGAAGAAGGGAATCTCCTGTTCAGCGGTCTTATAATATATCTTATTATAAAAAAAAAAAAAAAAAAAAAAAAAAAAAAAAAAAAAAAAAAAAAAAAAAAAAAAAAAAAAAAAAAAAAAAACGCCCCTCGCGTGTACGCGTCATCGCAACCTGTCCACAATAGAAAGTACGTGGCGCATCTTCCTCGCAGTGGGAACGCCGGGTTTCGTAGTTGATACGGAAGTTAAAGCCGCTGGGCGGACCGGCGCCGCGGCATGACGATGCCATGGCCACCACCACCAGTAAGTTGTTAGACCCGAGGTATTGTAAGAAGTACCGTTGCACGGTGAGGCGGCCTAGATCCCAGCCAGTAACCAAGTCGAAATTGTCGCCAGTCTCGCCTTGTCGTCGAGCGGCGAAATGCGAGGCGCTGGCATCACGCACAGCTCACACAAGTCCGCGCCGGGCCCCGCGGCTCGGAACGTGACCAGGGCGTAGTATCTGTTTGTGGCTTACGAGGTGGACGCTGGGAAAGCTGCATGGCATCCCACAATGGCCCCTGCTGCGCACGATTCCGCCAGGTGCTCACCGACCGGGAGCTCCCGGGCGCGTCCGATGGTAGTGTCCTGGAACAGCCGGGCGAACTGCCCCCCCGCACCAAGCCCAAAGATGTTGTCACCAATGTCTTCGAACACGTCTTCCACTTTCTTCTGGCGCGTGACCGGCACACGACCTTGTTTCTTGCGTGCCCTCGCCCCATCTGCCTCTTCGGTAGGAGAGGTACTTGACGGAGGCACCATAGCAATGTGGAGCGTGGTTATTCCTGTCCACTTGCTGAGCAAAACCTCACGCGCGGTGCAGCGTCCCTGTCTCCAGCTCGACATTCTTGTGACGGAATTGCCTGGCTGGCGCATGGGGTCGATGCACGTCGCCCTACTGCCTGCCAAAGTATTGAGAGATACAGGACAAGAGCTCTAGGCTGGCGTAAGAAGGGATGCATGGGGCAGCACGTGAACGCGCGTCACGACGCTCTCGCTCCAGTTAAAGAGAAGCCTAGTAATCCTCCGCTGCGCCCCTGCTGGCATCGGTATTTGCACGTACCTATCGGCCTGAAATCTCGACTGGATCGTCAATGTAGGACGTACACCCACGTTATTCAGTGGGCAGCCCAGGGTTGAGCGCGCTGGCCACACGGCGGAGCTGCCGAAGCCTCCTCGCCAAGAAGAGCAGCCAGTGCGTTCGAGGGTCCTAGAATCTTCGACTCCGCTCGAATAGAGGACACTGCTGGGCCAGACCAAACTGCGCGACCAATCACACGTGGACTTGTAGCATGGCCCCTGGCTTGATCCTCTCAGCCTGAATATTAGCCACTGCTTCCTCCAGCGCAAGCCGATCAGCGACCCTGTCCCAGACGGCCTGCTGCACCAAACCTTAAGGGCATGTGCACATCAGGCTAATCCATTGTTCTACCGCCGCGGCCACGTGGACGCTCTCGGCAGGCGATTTGAAGCGAGGTTCCGGGGCAAGCCCCCAGTCGGCAGAGCCTGACTGTGACCAGTCTCTACTGCTGGGCTTGCGACCATGAAAATGTAGCCCAGTCGCCCCGCCAGGTCCATAGCGGCACAAAGTGCGCTGCATCTCCGGCAGTTTCCTTGGCAGGCGCGGCTAGGCGGCATCATATGCCGAACCAACTGGCATTCATGTCGGGCATGAACCCTAAAGCGGGCGGAGAGGTGCTGAGAAATAACACTTGCGGGGCGGAGCGCTCGCATCGGCCATCCACGCTGCTCAACAGCTCGAGCAAACGAAGGCGCGAGCCTGATCACCAGAGCACGGTTGGGACACGACGTTGGGCCCCCGGCAAGGAGAGCTGGAGCGCCCCCTGAAGATGCCTCAACACATGCAGAGCCGAGGGTTGGCCGCTGCTCAGCCGAGTGTTGACCGCTGCGCAGCCACCCGAGTGGAGGGGGCAGCTGCCGGCGTCGCGCCCTCTGTTCCCGTCTCCGTCTCGCCGGCGGGCCCGCAGCGCACGCTGCAGTCGGGCGCGCCGCCTGGAGCTTGCACAGCCCCCCGTGAAATCGTCGATGACCATAACTGGGCGTCCGCTTGGAGCCTTCTGCACTGGGATGCGGACGGTGCCCGCGGGCCATGAGATCTCGATATCACCGCCACCTGATAAGATCAGCGCGCGTCGGCCCAGGATCGCGCGCGTGGACCATGCTGCGCAGACCGAGCAGGTCAGGCAGGTTGCTGCCCGATCTTCTGACAATGAGCGCTGCGAAGCTGTGGATGGTAGCTCGGCCCTAATCATCCGCGACGGCAGCGGGGGTGCTCAAATGATGGGCGCACGCTTGAGCTCCGTTGCCAACTCCTTGGGTCTCCAAGGGCTTGCTCCCAAGAAGCTGCCGCGGCCCGCGCCCTGCCTCTACGGTTCGGCGGCGCAGCCGTCGTGCAAGCGTCTCTCCGACGAGGTTGGCCCGAGCGCCTGGGTCCACGATGGCGATGAGCTCGCCAGAGGGTCTACCTGAGCGGCGAACTGACTGGACGGTCCGACGGCGGGCCACCATGGAAGCGCGCCGGCCCCACCGCCTTGAGGTGAGCCGCGGGGCGACGGCTGCCCCCAGGTGGATACAGGAGCGCTGAATGTGATTCCTCTCGCTGGTACGCCTCGTGGCGCGACCCGCGCCCAGTCGACCTCGGGTGCCACCTGCACTTCGGCTGCCACAGGGGGCGCGGTGCTAGCCCGGATGCACGCAGACTCGCGCGCCACCAACTGTTGCCTGCCTGTCAGGCATTGCGAAGAGGGTACTCGAGCCCGGTCGCCGCGAAATGCTTCTTCCACTGCCCCCCAACTGGGCAATGCTGGAGCGCCAGAGCCTCTGGCGGCCCCGCAGTCGGCACTGCGCCAGCGCGCGCGGTGGCAACGCTGCATTGACGCACTGGCCCAGACAGATGCCGCACATCTCATCGGCGTCTACCTATATCCCTGTGACTCCTGACTCAGCACGTAGATCCGACGGCTATGGCGGCGGCGCGACGGTAGGGGGACCAGCCACAACCGTGCCTATCACGCAGTGGGCGCACCCACGTCGGC